GTTTGCATTACCATCAGAAATGTCTCCTTTAACCGCTAAAATAATAACTTTGAAAACATTTCAACTATTGTGATTGATAAATTCCATTTAACACAAAAAATACGTTACTCACGCTTTTTTGTGCAAATCCACCTGGTATGGGTTGAGTTGACAAAATTTTAGATTTTGAGTTGTTTATGAAATCCACACAGATGCCAAAAATTTTCATAACACCCACATAAAATTCTATGAACAATTCACAATTCTTGAGTTTTAAAAATATTCTGAAATTTAAAAAAAATTCAGTTTTGGAAACGCTTTGGAATAGAAACATTTTTTCGTATGCATATATCTCTGGTGCGATTTGCACTAGCGAATTGAAATTTTGCACTATTAGGTGAACAAATAGTAAAAATTTCAATTCAAAATTTCTAATAGCGCCAAAGGTATTAATGGTCAAATTCGTTGTCAGGGAGACGCCCTCCCCTCTGTATTTTACTTTAACTCGAGAGTAAAATTCAAACAAACCATCGAAATCGAGGGTACAAACCCAATTCGCATCGTTTATATGAAATAAATTTTCCCCGGCAGCCTGCCGAGAAATTTGCGCCGGGACCACCCCAACGATTTTTCCCGGTGGTGGCCGCACCAAAAATCGGGTCGGCGTCTTTGGCGCACTAGCGAAAATCGGCGGCGTGTAGGTCTGATCGGAATTTTTTATGCCCAGGGCCGGGCCTGGCTCGCTTAGCCTCTGCATTTATGGCTTCCAGCGTGTTCTGAGATTCAGCGTGGCAGTTGCCTAGATAAATAGATGGCAAGGAAATACAACAGTTCACAATTATTTGCAGTAGCCGCGGATTGAAAGATTTGGAGCATTAATTTAGAAACAGCATACTTGAAAAAAAGAGACCCAACAATTTTGAAAAATTTCGATGTGTTATGCAGAAACCATCATAGAAGTTGACGAAACGAGTGGGAAAGCGCTCATGAGAGGTGCCCGACGAAGTCTTTTCTCAATCGGTAGGAAAGGTGCATTTAGACCAATAAAGGATTAAAAAACTTCGGTCTGGTCATCGTTAGTATTGCACAAAAGTTTCATTACATTTAATTCATGCATTCATTTTTTGCGGGTCAGAATAACTTGAAACTTTCAATCAGAGGCCAGTCCATAGTTATTCGGGACTGTAATTCAAATTGTTTCCTCTCAACCTTACCATTTTCTGTAAATTCAAATGGTTTTTTTGAAATCTGTCATCTCTAAGGTTTTCTTTAAATGGAGATTTTATTGGATATAAAAATACAGAGAATTATGTATACCTCGACTCGTATCTCGACTGCCTAAAAATCTCGACTGTCTAAAAAGTAACCGTAATCAGCGCGCGTAGGGTTTTTTGTAAGAACGGAATTTTATTCTTGAAGTGTACTTCTTTGGTATATATAAACAGTGGTTGAACAAAATACTCAAAAAATTCCCAAGAAATTGTCCCTCGAAGTCGACCATTTCATAAAACACTTTCCGAAGGAGGATTGGAATAAAAATAATTGTGGATAACTTGAAATTATCCGGATATATTGTTGCTCGTTCCTCAGTGTCTCTTGTACTTAATTCCGTTTGAATTGGAAGACCCAAATTAGCGAAACTGCCATCTATAAGGTACCAACCCCCCAAAAAGGTAACGGGTACAGTTTTTCAAAAAATCTACGCTCTGATAAGCCAGGAAGACACTCAGACCCAAAGTAAACGTGGAACAGTTGTTAAAATATCTGCATGTCAGCTACATTTGAGTTGCGTAACAACAACATACTTAAAAAACAGATCAGAAAAGGGCCAAGGTTCACATGAAAACAAACTTTACTACGAATATCTCTTGGAAAATGACGCTGTATGAAGTCGACTTAAAACAAAAGTTATGGATTTAAATCATTCCTAATTCCAAGATATTTGTGACAAGTCCTGATGTCCACTCCTTTAGATTTTTGATAACTTTAGACTACGAAAACAATAGCTTCTCCTTTGACGAGCTCCAACTTTTTTTGGTGTATTGGAAAATTCCTCCGGAGTAGTTGAACAAGAATAGCCTAGAAAATCAATGAATCCGCCGAAACAGCGATATGGCCCATATAATTAAATACGTCTAAGCAACACTGCGAAAAAAACGAAGAAAATTCATCGACGCCGACTGAGTTTTAAGGCCAGTTTCAATGACGGTTGAAATGCGAGATAAAATGCTCTGTAGAAAGTTTTACGTTTGCTTAAGTTAAGTTAAGAGACGAGAATTTTGATTTTTCTCTTTCATGAGAAAATAGAAATAAAATTAGTGTGAAATAGTAAAAATTAAATATTTTAAATAAGCCTCAGAATTATTAATTTTTAGATTCAACAAAATCGTCATTAAAAAACGACCGGGGATGAACTGTTCATTCTCGGCCGTTTTCCCCTGAGAAAGAAAAAAACTTGCTAATTATTTTATTATTAGTTTAAAATAAATTAATAAATTAATCCAACAGATTTTTGTTCAGCATAGTTTAATTAGTCTAGAAATTTATGTATATGAAAATATGAGACAAAAACCAATTTGTATGCGAAATTTTGAAAATTTCTCAAAGTGACATTTTTTGAAACCGCTGCGAAAAAAAGTTTTTCCTTGCGCATATGGCATAAACATAAAAAATCAGCTAAATCCGAGTTAGGCCACTAAACTGGAATTCTACAGTTGACATTAAATTCAGTCTGGTTCAAGTGCCGGGGGATTGGAACTTAGTACCTGGGAAACGTCACTCAAAAGTTCAGATTCCCTGGACTTTTTACTTATGCAAGTTATAGGGAAACGGAACCCACTTGTCACAGGATTTGGCGCGTCTCGATTCCCTTGTACCCACTTACACAAAAGTTGCCATTCCCCGGAACTCAACATTTTTCTTTCATTTTTCATAAATTGAATAAATTTCCGCACAAAATTTGTTTTATCTCAAATTAACCTCCCACGAATGAAGAACATTGCATGAAAAAATTAGAATTTTTTCATGTTTTCGAATTTGTGAATTTGCTATTGAAGTCGAAGATTTCAAGGATTTTAAAAGGGCAAGGTTTTGGCTGGAAAAACGATTAAAATTTGCAAGTAGCGTTCAGTTTTAGCGCCAGAAGTGTGGTGAGCGCTAATTTAATAAGCGCATTCTGAAAACATATCGGTGTGCTTACATTTTGTTGCGAGCAAAATAAAATTGGTTCCATGTAAGTTCCAAGTTAGATTTGCAAAGACGGCAACCAATTGCTCGGCATGATGTTTGTCCAATTGTTTTATATATGTATTTAGCCTACACTCAAAATAAAAATTTGTCGAATCAACACCGCCGGTGTCAATTTATGACTCAACCGCCTTGGTTACAATGTTGAATCCGAGTTGTGATGATTTTGATACCGGTAGTTATAATGTTATGACCGGACGGAAAAAATTCATTACTACTCGGAATCACAATTGTAACCAAAGCGGTTAAGTCATATATTGACAACATTTTGTTTTGAGTGTATTAATGTCAATAAAAATCCACTCAAAATTTTGCGATGCAAATATTTGTCGCATATAAAATCGTAATTGTATATACATTTGCAAGATAATTTGTAATATTAGTTATCATTTTTAAATACTTTAGCGTGAAATGAACATTGTGGGAAAACTATTACGTCCAAATTATATAAAGATATTAAATTTTTAAAGCTTACCAAATTCTGAAAAATCGCGGGGTAATGATTACGAAGTTCACAAAAATTGTTGTTAGGGATAAAGAATGGCCCAAGCAAGGTGCTTAAAAAATTTCACTGAGAGAATAAATTTCGTAATTTTTCTAAATTATCCAGTTAAGTCCAGTTAAAGATGTCTTTTAAACCCTAGAGGATTTTGGGAATTTTTGAGGGTGGGCATTTGCATTGAGTGCCCACCCTGCTATTTTCTAGGGTGGGCAATGCCCACCCTGCCCACCCCGTTGCTTCGCCTATGATCAACACTTTTACAGAAAATTAAACTATTTTAGGATTGATGTATTTTAGTATGAATAGATTTCTGTTTCTTCACGGCGTTGTTGTGTATAAAATATGGGTAAGGAAGAAAGTTGAGTTCCTTTGTAATTGTAAAATGACTGTATGCTGACAAATATTTCCGACGGAATTTATGTAAAATTGACAGAGGGGCAATTATGCAAAAATTTCAAAGTATAAATATATATATCTTCCTACCTTATGTAAGCTCTCATGGGTAATTACTTCTGTGTGTATGTAAATCGAGTTGACTGGTTTAGGGAATTATTAATGTGCAGTGCAGCTCGCATATTAAATCATATAGTCAATCAAGCTCCAAAAATGTATATCTAAGTGTATGTATGTACCAACTTAATTTCTTAAAAAATTGTGCAGATATACATATGATGTATGTATAGGCTAAAGAAGTTCACTGCGAAATTATGAATACGTATCATTCATCTAAAAGAATCAAGGTTCCAGATATGCATGAATGTATGTACACATGTAAAGTATTATAATATTTGACATGTGTACAAACATATTTACATATGTATATGTATATATGTAAATATGTAAAGCAATGTGCTCAAATCCTGCACACAAATAAGTATTGTATTTGATGTATAATTAGAGCACGAATTTAATTAATTGAACACAATTGGAGTACATACTTGAAGAGTATCACTCAACGTTCAAAATTTTTAATAGGTACATGATTCCTGTAACACTTCGTTATATGCTAAAGAAGTTCGAACTTATCTGTAAATTATTTTCTTGTTAGTTTGCATGCGTTATGAATAATATGCAGAAATAAATTGTGTTTATTTATGGTTGCTCCCACGGAAGCGACCAAAATAAAGTCGACGTATTTTTCGTTGGGGCCACAAAATATTAAAATGTATGAATGTGAATCTTTCGAATCTGAATGTCAGCCTAAAATATGGCAAACGTTTAATGGGATTATAGATATGTAGATTAATTTAAACTTTATGTAAATAACCAATAGTTCTTTGATTTGGCATATGGCACAATATTTTCAGAGTTTATTTCAACATCACAGATAAGTACAAACATGTATGCGTGTATATTTGTATTTGTGGTGAAGCGCTAGTTATTTTAAGTGTAAAATTTAATATGGATAGGTAAATACTTTGCGAATACAATTTATACTTTAATGAATAAAACCTCTATTTGTGGATGATTTACAATCTTATTTAGTTTAAGAAAAAACACAGGAAAGACGGCCAAAAGGGAAACATCAAGTTTTCAGCGTTCATTTTAGTCCATCTTGCCCCATGCAACGATACGATCTACCTCCCTCACAGCAGAGTCGTAAGCTCCATGCACTGTGGAATAATAGTGCGGATGGGTGGCTTCTCCGGCGAAACAAACCAACTAAATTATAAGCCACACGAAATACGTTATTATCCACGCACAATATTACTTAAAAAACGGTAAAATTACCGGCTTATTTGTCGCCAGGTTCAAAATGGGTGTTCCTAGGTCAGCCGCCCATACATTTTCGGCATCACTTTCAACCCTGCGATAACTATATGTCCCGCCAAAATTGGAATCCTCTCCCCAATTTGATTTGTAAAGGTTTATGGGTTCCGTGATGTTTGGAAACTTAAGGGAATAAAATCCGAAATTTAGCGAACTTTAAGAAATTCCCTACGAAGATTTGTATCACCTGGGACGACAGGAATTGGCGCATTGCATTCACCACGTGGGTCTGAATGTAAGAGCTGTTTTGACGATCCAAAAATCTGGCTGGGTTTCCCGCCACCCAAGCTCGCAAAACGTTTGGCGCTGATCCAGAGTCGACGTTGAATAGGGTTAATATGGCACGGACCCAGAGTGGAATTCCGTCATATTCCGTGGCAAGTTCGGCATCAGTGAGGTCAAGGCGCCAGTAGTGGAGGGTCTCGTTGCTGTAGTCGATGTCATTCCAAACTGGGAATAGTCCTTCGAAGGTTGGCGTCCACCAGGGTTCGGCGAATTCTATCGCGATTTTTATAACCGATCCGAAACCAATGTTCTGAAAAATGAGAGATACATAATCATAAATTTCCGTATTGGGGTATATGACTGAGGGTATTCATGATTCCTTAATATCCTTGCTATTCTTCGTATCGTAAAATAAGTTACCACGGTTAAGAGATTTTGTAAACGGAGTAAGATTTTCTAAGCAAAGATCGCGTTGCTATGTAAGGTTCCGAGTTTTACTATGTTTGACCCCTTGTTTTCTTGGTAAATTTTTAATATACAACTAGACAATTGAATACCCTCATTGAATATATCCAATCAGTTAATTGAAATTTCATTGTTAGCATAACTCAATGTCTGAATGAAATACGCAAAGAATACGTACACTTTAAGTAACAAAATCCATAAGAATATCATTTTATCAAATCTACGCTAGCCTCATGGAGGTGTTTCTAAGCTCAATTTTTTAACCATACTTGCTGCAAACAAATATGTACATACAAATAAAATCTTAGCGATCGATTGCCCGTAGCTTACATTTATTGCTAATTGTTTCCTGGTTGATAGTGGTGGTGTAAATAAGGTTGCATGATTAGCCTTGAGTACTCCTAATGACCCAGTAAAAATTACGTGATCCACAGAATATGTCTCGTCTTGAGTAGAAACATTCACCGTCTAGATGTAATGATAAATAAATAAATTTATATCAAATTTATGTGGAATTTCTTGTTTCAACCAACCTGGCCATTTGTTGAGTATTGAATACTCTCAACTTTCTGGTTCAATTTGATATAATCTGGCAAGGTGAAATTTCCATCCTCGCTAATACTTCCACTCTAAATACATAAATATGTTGCAAAGAAATCATGATAACATTCAAAACACGTTGATGAATATCTGGATCAACTTGGCATAATTTAGGACTTTCTTCGCACTTCATTTGTAATTTGGGAAATCGGTAAGTTTCGTAAAATAATTTTGCAAGCTTTTATCTAAACAATAAAACGGCGTCCCGGATCTGGCTAACAATACGCGCATGTTTTAAGATTGTAGTCGACCTTACCAGAATAAATTGGGCCAACGTATGATAAGAATATGGCGGCTTCCACCGGACATCGGGTTCACCGTAAAGCCAAATGTACCGATCTCCCCAATCGTTCCCCGAAACGTCGAACCAACTCGTCGCAGATTCCTCCGCGTTCTTTAACGAAATTTAATATGTAATCTAAAATTCCGCTAACAATGGAGGCGCAAACCATGTTCAGCCCAGATAATTTTTTGACCTTATTAGTTTGAAAGAGCAAGTCTTTGCAAACAACATTTGGTTCGGCACTTGGGCAGATGCGCAAATTTCAATACGTTATGGGCGCCGCAAGTTCGCAAAAACGCACGAAGTTGAGCTCGCGCTGGGCATTGCCCAAAAAATCGTGCGTTTTTGCGAACTTGCGGCGCCCATAACGTGCTGAAATTTGCGCATCTGCCCAAGTGCCGAACCAAATGTTGTTTGTAAAGAGTTGCTCTTTCAAAATAATAAGGTCAAAAAATTATCTGGGCTGAACATGGTTTGCGCCTCCATTGTAAGTTTCAAATGTAATTTAGTATATGTACACTTGTTCGGTGTGCCCAATCATAAATAGCTTCGAACATCTCGGGATCATCGGTGATGTGATAAGTCCGATTAAATCTTTCGAGTACGTAACGCGCCCAAACGCCTTGACTGACATTGATATGAACCTCTTCCCGCCAATCTTCCGGATCAAACCAGGTATAGTTCAGGTATTCGCGCATATTGGAGGTCAGGTTGGACTGCAACCACACCCCCGACGGGAGACCGTAGTCCGTTCCAAACTATAGAAAAATTTGTATTTACATAAAACGAGCAAGCGAATTTTTTTCCGAGCTTGACGCCAATAATTTCTTAGCAATACAATGTTAGAAATCCAGTATTAAAATTTTAACAAGCGGTGTTCATTTACGACTCTACCAAAGTGGTATGGATAAGTAATACCGTGAAGTAATAGCTTGGTTTTACGAAGTTTTGCGATATCGATAACAAATTTTTTCGTACCGGTAAAATTTTAGTACCAAGCGGTACTAAAATACTTTAATGCTGAGAAATCAGCACATGACTAAATACATACATGTATACACCTGATGTCTAACTGTACATTGATTAGGCAAAAATTCGTGCAAACTTTTTTTGCAAGCTTGGCGTCATTAATTTCTTATTTTACCTCTCTTAGTTGTCCCCTAGGTTGAAGAACTCCGAGAGGATTCATTAACTGAAAAATGCTATTATTTCTCTCTCCATGCACCCATTCTGCCCCGAGTTCGGTGTAGCTCTCATTTCCGAACCAGATCGTGTGGGTTCGTCCCCCAATGCGGTCACTGGCTTCGAGAAGAGTGACATTATAGCCGGCCGCGTGTAACATGGACGCAGCTTTTAGACCAGCAATACCGCCCCCGATTACAGCCACGGATCCGGGATTCTGTCTAAAAGATTTTTTAGAAGAATGTAATTTTTTTAATTTTCTCATCCTCAGTATAAAATATACACATATGTAAATATTTATGTACACAAATTAAATTAATTGTACTAAATCTAGAGTAAGTTTGCTCTTATCAAGCCAACGTTACGCAGGATTTAGTATTATTTACTTAATATCGAATTCAGAGTGCATTTATTTTTCAAAAGGGTAACATTATTATTAAAATTGTATGAAAAATAATCTGTACCTGTTGATAGACTCCGCCCGCACTGTAAAAAATACTGTGAATAATACACCTATTAAGTCTAATTTCCGCATTTTATTAAATATTTTGAAAGGTATTTAATTGATCAAAGCTCTTTATTCGTCTGAACCCGATGCGGGGAAGATAGACACAATAAATACCCCAGATATGAGATTGTTTTCACTTATCTGCACGTGGCAGACTACTGGATATTTGTTCCCGTTAGTGAGTTGACATCGATTTATTTCATAAAACTCGTGTAAACAGATAACCGATCTGAATTGAATGCATATTTATTAGTGCCCTAAATTGGTGTCTCACGAGTAGACAATGACACGGGAGATAAGGTGTGTCAAAGATTAGCCCAGTTACCTACTTTACTTACCCTTTTCAATCAAGTTCAGAGCTGAGTCAGTCAGGCGTATGCTAAACTTAATTGAAAAAGTTGACCTAAATTGAAGTCTGGCCCGATAAGAATCATTTGGGTTGCATGCACGCGTTTTTCATAAACATGTAAACATTGATGTTTTGCATTTATTCTTTTGCCACGCGTCTTTAATGAATTATGACAAATCACCTTTTAAATATTTGATTGCCATCTTTTTGGTATTTTGCAAGTAACTAACAAAGGGAGCACAATCCATGCTCAGTCCAGATTATTTTTGATCACTTCAGTTTGAAGACCAACTCTTTAGAAACAACAAATTCACATTGTAAGTTTGATAAAACGAATTTAGCAATGCAACAAAGCTACATACATATGTTGATGCTTTTTTATTATTTTTCAGACAGTATTTACTCATAAAATTTCACAATTTCTATAAGTATATACATATGCACATATCGAGTATTACCGACAATCAAAAAAGTAATACTACAAAATTATAGATGATTACATATGTAAAATGAAAGTTTCAGAACTAAAATTATTCCCAATTATGTATGTACTTAAGTAGGTATGTAAATATCTGTTATAATTAAATATGTATCTGTTAGACCAACTACTTATGCATGCATGCATTTACTTGCTGACATATGTAGATAAATATATATGTGCATACATCTTTCCGGTTAAAAAAATAATCTAAAAACCAGTAAGCCAGTATTTATGTAGGAGGATAATGCATATCCTCCTACTGGTTTTTTGTTTTAAACAATGGGTATACATAGTTTATCTATGTATAATCCATTCCCATTTGGATCGACAAAGTGGTTGCTGTTTTTGGAGAGAAGGTCTAGATTTCCAAATATGTAGATTATACTTTAAACTACAATTGTAACCAAGGATAAAATACTTATAATACTTATAACCATACGTCGGATATTAACGAAATATTACTTTTTCTATTTTTTGACATAAAGCATACAGTACACAAAACTTTTCTAATGTTCACGGTCACTCTTAGGTCACGTAGGTCAAAGCATATTTTCTCATATTGATCACATAGTGGGTTTTGAGACACTCTAAACAAAGCTGTAGAAAATTTCTACAAGGTTGTGTAAAATTTTGCCCAAGGTTGAGTAAAAAAGAGGATGACACAACCGTTGGTTAAATTTTACTCAACTTGGTTAAATAATTTAATTAGAGTAATTTTTGCTCAACACGTTGTGGAATTTTTACTCAACACGTTGTGGAATTTTTACTCAACAAGCAGTTAAAAATTGATCAATGAATGATTAAAATTTACTCTTTGGTTGATCAAAGGTTGCTTTTAATGATGATTAAAACCCATTCTTTACCTTATTAAAATTCATTATTTATTGTAATTGTACTCGTTTTACATTTTATAAATTCTACATATGTAAGTACAAAACAATTAGTTTTCATAAAGATCATTGGATATTACTTAAAATTACTAAATATGTACATGTACAATTAGAATTTTGAGGTATAATCTAACGAAACTCTAATCTAACTACTAACCTGTTCAGCTATTGTGAATAATTTAAATATGCGGCCAAGTGATGGAATTATTTCAGCAAATAAACCAGCAGCACCGTTGACCGTCCAGCAACTTAAAAAACTTTGTCGTCACCATCGTTCCTGTAAAAAAATAAGCAGATAAATATTTTAATTTATTAGAAAATACGACCAAATGTGCAAAAAATAAACAAAACTCACCTTACCTTACATTTTTCCAGTCGTTGGGTCATTTTTTTGTAAATTTTGAGAAATGAAAAGTAAATTTGTTGCTGCTCCTTTTGTGACTTGCTGTAACCAACTGACGGCATGCAAGTGGCTGATAAATAGGCAGAGTTGATTTCACTCAACCCGTTGAGTAAAAATTAATCAACTTGTTTTTCATTTATCGCCCAACATTGATTAATTTTATATTTGATCAGCGAAAAAGTCAAATTTTGTTCAATGTTGAGTAAAACTTGCTTTACACAACTTTATTGTGCAAATTTTACGCTTTAGGAGCATAAATTTTGTCCAACGTTGAACAAAATTTGATCAACTTCATTTTACTCAACCAGCTTTGCTCAACTTTGTTTAGAGTGGACATATTCATGTTCCCATTATAAAAATTTTTCCGGGCATTATTCTTTCATTTTATGACTTTTGGCTAAATTCCAAGATTTACATATGTATATCAAATTGTCAGAAAATTTAAAATAATTCAGTTTTCTCAAAATGATTTATTGCAAGAAATTTACGTGAATTTCACGTGCGCCTGACGAAATTTAATTGGTTGAAAATGAAGTAAATCAGTTTATAACTTGTCTTATTGAGAAAAACAGAATATGTCACTAGCTAAAAATAAAATAAAGCCATTCTTATAATCACAGGTAGGGATTTTTACGGTAATTTTTCATACATTACTGCTTGACTTTATTTTACTGTTTTATGTATCATTCATATCCGACGTCTGCTTATAATTATGTACGTTTGCATAATCGTATCATTACATTTAAACAAGAATTAGAATTAGAAGAACAATAATTATATTTAAACAAGCCTTTCATAATTTATAAGAATCGGTTTTTTTCTGTGTCACGTACCAAACTTTTGTGTTCCAACTGTCATTTCAATGTATTTCAAACACTAGAAGTCCAATTCGAGTGTTTGAAATACATTTCTCAATATATTCAGAAATGGGTATGGAATTCGTAGTCAAAAAGTTTATGGAAACCGTAAAGCTTGCGAATTATTTTTGCTTCCCGGTAGTCTGGAATGACAATTTGAAAAAGTTTTCTTTCTCTGCAAGGCACCATGCAAATTCCGTTGCTTTACAAATACTAATTTATTATAATATCGTTGTCCTGTTGGGCCAGGCAATAAAATGCAAATTGAAGGATGAAATAGCCTATTGGAATTTACTACTTGTATTTCTGTACACATACGTGGCTATGTCATTAGCATTAATCGCACCAACATTTCAGACGCGCGATCTGGCGCGATTTTGGAATAGTGTAATCAAATTTGGGGAGAATTTTTCTGGTAAGAGTTTGGAAATTTTCTGGTTGTCGTCTAAGAAATTTGGTGTTAAAATAACACCAAGCGTACCAAGTGTGTGATTTTACCAAAGTGGTATTTTATTGTCAAATTTTAGAAAAATGGTGGCGCCAACCTTCCAGTTCTGCTGACCTTACATTCAATCGGTCGTTCCTCCGGATCACACGTCCCGCTAATCTCGCCCTAAATCTATTGCCGTTCATTATTATGTCCCACGCCGCCATCTTTCCCAGCCATCCGATCCACTTTCCCAACATTTACCGTTCCGGGAGCCTCCTATACTATGGTGCTTACGTTGTCTACTTCCCCACTAATTTATACATATTCTGCTATTTCACACAATAAGCGAAACTTGTTTTTCAATCATACACGTACTTTATTTTATTTGTGGTTCCACTCCTGCAAAGCGGTATTTCTCTAAGCACATGGCCGAAAAGGAGGCATCCTTTCAAACCCGAGTTGGTACAGCGGCCCGAGCACATCTCCAACGTGTATCGAAGCTTACAGCTGATAATGAAGGATATGTCGTTCCTCTTTGGACGATTGATCGCCCCAATTCAAGTCATTTCCGGAAAATGTATCATAACTTCGGCGTATTTTCTAATTGGCGGAGGAGCTTGGAGTGATACAGCAACTTCAATGATTTTGTGGACCGGGATCCCGTTCGCAGCTGTTTCATGGACGATTATGCTGGCATTTTCGGGAATTATATATCGGTGTGCAAACCGTTGCATTGCTTCTTGGAAAAGTGGAGCTGGTCGCTGGGAGACCGGAGAGGATAGACTGTATATGAAGAAGTTTAGAAGGAGCTGTAAGTCAATTTATATCGGGTATCCGGGTCTAATAACCGTGACGCTGAAGACAGCTTTGATGTTCGTACAAGGAATTGTGCACGGGACGGTTAGAGCACTGCTAGCTTTCAAGAAAAGGAGGTGACTGACTTGACACTAACTTTTGTGTTTGACTTCAACTTGTCAACCTGACATTTAACTCCTATTTATTTAATTAGAACCAAGGGTACTTATACATGTCGCTTATCATGTGCTATACTTCAAATTCAATTCGTAGCTTGAAATTGAAATTTTGAAGTGACACTTACACTCATACGCTAACATCCGTAGTTGCTACGCACAATGCTCCGCAGAAACGTTGCAGATAAATACATATGCGAATCCTGCATACCGATTATTTTCCACATTTTAAATTTGAAACTGTTATAAAATTAAACGTTCTATACGTCCACTATGCTAATCATTATGCTATTTATTTCCCCTCGTTCAAAGAATTTCAATTAATACAGTGTTCAGAGACTCGCCCTTGCCCAGAAAACTCTATCGATTAAGGGTACTAGGGAACGTCCATATTTCACGTTATCAAGCGGGAATACAGGTAGTTTTGGTGCACTATCATACTCCTGTTAAGCTTAACATGAGGAAATTTTGTACATTGTTGGAGACCATAATCCTACGGATATATGCTGTTGGCGGTGTAATTGTAATATTTAATTCTGCATCCCTAATCATTATTGACCCCTGAATGTCGCCATGTACATTTAATCCTAAGTAGATTATCTATTTACCCCTCGATAAATATCTGGTTGGGTCACATGGATATGTATACTCTCTGTAGTGGGATCGATTTGGTAATAACTTCCTAGCTAATTTTTTGTTTTGTGTTTCTGAGTGGCAAGTTTTTTATTTACC